ACTGGCTGTCACCACTCACCGCTCATAGCCTCGAGGGGGTGGGGACCCCAGCACTGGACACAATTCACCGTGGCCCCAGAGCCCAGCCAGTCGGACAGACTCACGGTCGGACGCAAGCCCTCGGAGCCTCAGGTGGGCAGGCTGCCAGGGTCCCTCAGAGCCGCATCAAGGTCAGTGCCAGCTGGGGAAGCGGCCCCTCCACTGGGGGGGGCCCTGAGAACGGTGGGGCCCACCCCAGATCATACGCCCCAAAGTGGGCTTTACCCAGGGGCACCTGGGGAGGCAGTGTGGGGGGCAGCCCTGGGTCTGCAGGTCAGCCCAGGCCTGGGGGGTGGTCTATAGGGGGGTGGGGAGCCCTTGGGCCAGAGACTAGCTTTGGCCCGGCCCACCGAGGCCCTGCTGGGGACACCCCGCACCGGCTATGGGTAGCTAAAATTGGAAAGTGGCGAGTGGGAGGCAGCTGACAAAGCTATTTCACGGGCTCTTCACTATGCTCCGGTTTCAAGCTCCTGCTCCATTAACCTGATCCCCGGGGCTCCCTGCCCCCCACCCAGCCAGGAGAGGTACCTCCACTTGTCAGTGGGAGCCAGGTCGGACCAGCGGGCTCCCACTGACAGGAGAGGCGGCAGGGCATGAGAAGAGGCAGAGCTGTGTGACCTTCGGGGGTCCTTGTCCCTCTCTGGCTCCCACCCTCCATCTGTGTAATGGGGAGACCGCGAGGATGATGAGGGGGAGGAGCTGGGGTGGACACCCCCTCCACACCGGCCACCTCTGCACTTTGCCCAGCCCAAGAGGGGGGCCCTAGCCACGCTCCTCCCTTTCATCCGAGCCCTGACTCCCGACAGTCTGCACCCCAGACAGGGCACCTGGGAGGCCTTAGCCCATAGCGGGTGCAAGCGAAAGCGGGGGGTGGGGGGGGGTGGACAGCCTGGCCCGGCAAGCCTGGGGATGAGCTAGGCCCTGGCAGGAGGGAGCCAAGCTCACCCCAGGGCCTGATACCGGTCAGCACCTTGGACAGCAGCCAGTGCCCTCCCTGGCGCCCGCCTAGCCCCACACCCTCCACGCCAGGGTGCCTCCTCAAATAACACCGGCTCCTACGGGCCTCCAAGACCTGAAGGCACAGCTTTCTGCTGCCACAAACAGGCACGGGCCTGGGGCCACAAACAGGCATGGGCCTGGGACGCAGCAGGCTGGGCACAGGGTCTTGTGGGGGGCCGTGGGGGTCAGGGAGAAGCGGGGGTGGGGGGTGGGCAGGACCTGGAAGAGTCACAGGGTCTCAGGGAAGGAAGGGCAGCTCAGGGAGTTGGGGGCGGTCCAAGTAGGGGCCTTTGGCGAGGGTCACCAAGCAGATGGGGACCCTGGGGACCAGGAATGCAGGAGGTGATGCGTGCAGGTAGTCACGGGGGTGGAGGCACCAGGTGTGGAGGAGTGGGTGCAGGTGAGGAGCAGGGGAAAGGTGTGAGTTCAGAGGGCCATTGACACGGAGTCCTGGGCACAGTGGGACCACCAGGGATCCAGGGGTGGACAATGGCACCGGTCCCCAAAGGGCAGCAGGGGCCCTCTCATCTGAGTGGGACTGGCACCATCTCAGTCAGGAACCCCGCTCTGGGGCTGGTGGCTGGGTGTCCTTACAGCCTGTCTCTCCCAGCCCCCTCCCGGCTATGGGCATCAAGACAGCATTGCCTGCGGCTGAGCTGGGCCTCTACTCCCTGGTGCTGAGTGGAGCCCTGGCTTATGCTGGCCGGGACCTTCTGGAGGCATCGCAAGGTAACTGACCACCCCCACCCCCACCCCAGGGGCCCTGGAGGCAGGGAGTTTCAGGGCTCCATCAGACAAGGCAGGGTCAGCAACCCAGGCTACTCCCCAGGCCCTGCGGGTTGGGCTGAGCCAGGTGCAGAGAGACGTGGTCAGAGGCACCGAGAGACCCTCACTCAGAGCTGACGTCAGCGGCTGGACTCAGACACACAGAGAGACCCTGAGAGACTGTGACCCAGGGACAAACCAAGCCTGATAGCCTCCCTAAGGGTGGGGGGAGGTGAGGGGGCCTCCCTCTGAGGCCACACTCTGTCCTCAGATGGGGCCCACAGGAAGACCTTCCGGGAGTCTGTTCGGCCGGGCTGGGAGTACATTGGTCGAAAAATGGTAGGTCCTCGAGAGACCAGAGGCCACCTTAGGGTCCCTAACCCTTGGCACATCTCTTCCACTCTAAACCCTGCCCCCACTCTTCCCCATGGCCAATGTGCCCATGTAACAGAGGGCAACGCTGAGGCTTGAAGTGTGTGTGTATTGGTGGGGAGAGGGTCCCCTGGTTTCAGCTTCTCCTTAGCACACCTGGGGCAACCTCAGCTTGAGCTCTACTTCCCTGCATCCCCCGGCCTCCCACCATCAGACCCTTCTCCTTAAAGAGACGCCTCACCCTTTGCCAGGGGCAGCAGGATCAGGGTGGTGTGCCAGCCATGCAATGCCCTCAGTCCTCTGCTTCTATGCTGATGCTGCTCCCTCCCAATGCACAGGGGTCAGGCGCAAGCCCACCCTGAGCCTTTTCCCACGTGCCCCCTCCCCCACCCACCCCGTCCCACAGGACGTGGCTGACTTCGAGTGGGTGATGTGGTTCACGTCCTTCCGTAATGTCATCCTCTTCGCCCTCTCCGGACACGTGCTTTTTGCTAAACTCTGCACAATGATAGCCCCCCAGGTGAGCCAACCCGGGCCTCCCCAGCTGCCCGCCCCATTCCCCTAGCTCCTCCTCGGGCACCAGGGCTGGGTCCTGTCCCATTCTGGGTCCGCCCTGTGACCAGAGCTGCCTGCCTCCCTCCCCCAGTTCCGCTCCTGGATGTACGCGGTGTACGGGGTCCTGGCTGTGGCTGGCACGATGGGCCCCGGGTACCTGCTGCTCTTGCTAGGCCACTGTGTGGGCCTCTACGTAGTTTCCCTCTTGGGCCAGCCCTGGCTCTGTCTCGGCCTGGGTCTGGCCGGCCTGGCCTCCTTCAAGCTGGACCCTCTCATCTCCTGGCAGGTGTGTACTGGGGCAGGGCATGGCGAGGGGTGTGGGGTGACAAGCCTCTGGCTTCTCGTCTGTCTGCAAAGGCTCCCCATTCCAAGCACCCAAGGGTTCCCTCGTTGTCCCCACGCCTCTCCAAGCCTGCAGGGAGGCGTCTTGTGCATTCCCAGCCATTGAAACGGCCCTCGAAGCCCAGTGTTGACTGGCCGTGGCCAGGCTGGGTTCCTGCGGGAAGCTGGGTGGGCGTCCAGGAGACAGAGGCCCCCTGGTGAGCTGGCGGCTACCTGTTCTCTCCCCTCCAGAGCGGGTTTGTAACGGGCACTTTTGATCTTCAAGAGGTGCTGTTTCACGGGGGCAGCGGCTTCACGGTGCTGCGCTGTACCAGCTTTGCGCTGGAGAGGTGTGCCCACCCCGACCGCCGCTACTCCCTGGCCGACCTGCTCAAGTACAACTTCTACCTGCCCTTCTTCTTCTTCGGGCCCATCATGACCTTTGACCGCTTCCACGACCAGGTAAGTGGACGCCCTGGGGGCCTGGAGGACAGGGGGGAGTCTCTCCCTCCCCCACCCCTGCACTGCAGTAGGGAGTGCCCAGAGAGAGAGGTGGGGTCTCCCTGGGGAGGCTGAGGAACCTCCTGGTAGGGTGGAGGGGAGGGTTATGGGCTGGGCTGCTAACCCAAGGTCAGCAGTTTGAAACCACTAGGGGAAAAGTCTTTCTACTCCCATAAAGAGTCCCAATCTGGGAAACGAATCCGCAGGGGCAGTTCCACCCTGTCCTATAGGATCACTAGGAGTCAGCATCGACTTGCTTGCAGCGAACTTGGGTCTTGTTTGTTTGCATGGGCACACTGTGACAGCCCCCTGCCCCTCCCCACCCCCCATAATCCACCTCCAGGATGCCAGGAAGATGCCATGTCTCCCCCTCCTCAGAGCCCCAGGGGGGTGCCATTTCCTCCTCCAGCTGCAGCAGGAACCACATGCCCCTCCCTAAGAGGCCCTGGGATGTGGGTGTTCCCCTCCTGCTCAAAGGATCCCCAAGGTCAGAAGAGCACCCCGCACTAGGACTCCAGTCACTCTCAGATCCCCCTCCTCCCACAAACACGCTCCGCCCCCGCCCCAGGTGAGCCAGGTGGAGCCGGTGAGGCCGGAGGGTGAGCTGTGGCGCATCCGGGCTCAGGCAGGCCTCAGCGTGGCCACGGTCATGGCGGTGGACATCTTCTTTCACTTCTTTTACATCCTCACCATCCCCAACGACCTCAAGTTCGTCGGCCGCCTCACCGACAGCGCTCTCGGTGAGTGAGCGCTCGCAGAATCAGTCGCCAGGCACTTACCAGAGAGCAGGAAAGCGGGTGGATCCCTTGAAATTTGAGGGGCTTGGGGTTAGCTTTGCTGACAAAGCCCACCTCATTATGAGCCGAACTCCATAACCCTGGAGGGGAACCCTGCGGAGCAGGTTGGACATTTCCCCAGAACTGGTGTCCGTGGGACCAGGCCCAACTCTAGCACCCTCCTCAGGACAAGGTGGAGGGAGGGACCTAGCGCCTCTCTGGGAAGCAGTGGGCGGGGCCCCATGGGGGCGGGTCCAGCTTTAAGACCACCCCCGGGAAAAGGTGAAAGGAGGGGCCTAGCTGCTCCCTGGGAAGTAATGGGCGGGGGCCCCCATGGGGGTGGGCCCAATTCCAAGACCACCCCTGGGAAAAGGTGGAGGGAGGGGCCTAGCTGCTCCCTAGGAAGTAGTGGGCGGGGCCTCCATGGGAGCGGGCCGGGGGAAGAACCTCCCCAAGACACGCAGAAAGTCTCCGCTGATGGGCGACTTCAGAGCCTCCTGTGAGGGTTGGGGGGCCCAGGAAGGGAAGATTGGCGCTGTGCCCCCCAAGCCCTGGCTGCGCCCTTTCCCCAGCCCTCCTGGCTTACTCCAACCTGGTGTATGACTGGGTGAAGGCGGCCGTCCTGTTTGGTGTCGTCAACACGGTGGCGCGCCTTGACCACCTGGACCCTCCCCAGGCGCCCAAGTGCATCACGGCGCTCTACGTCTTCGGAGAAACGTGAGTACCAGGCCAGGGTGGTGCCTGGATGCCCGCCTGCCCAGGGCCCGTCCACCCGCCTGCCACAGCGGTATCCCTGCAGCCTGGCTCACAGCCGCCTTTCTGTGTCCTTTCCCAGGCACTTTGACCGAGGCATCAATGACTGGCTTTGCAGGTGAGCTTGGCAAGGGTTGGCCAGGTGGGGCCAGGGGCGGGCAGGCGTATGCGCCCTGCCGGGAATCTGAGCAGCAGTGCCCAGGGATTACCCCAGACCAGACCAGAGGAGGGCAGGCCGGCTGTCGTTGCCCAAGTCAAACTGCACGACTTCACACACTTGGACTTGGAAGGGGGCCTGGAGGCTGAGAGAAGTGGTCTGAGTAGAGAGACCCAGCAGGTCTAGTGGACGGGGCTTGTCCACAGATTGGGGGTGGAGGTGGGGATGGATAACCCAGATTCTACTGTCTGGGGCAGTGCAGGTGTGGTTTCCATAAATAGGTTTTGGAGGTGCCTAGGTTGGGATCTGGAGACATAGAGGTGCAGGGTCGTGGATGGGGCTCGGTGTCTGCAGTTGAGAGAAGTCTCGGGGACCCATAGGGCTCTAAGCATTGTCAGCATGTGGGGTGGTCTTTAGGCCATAGGAGTGGGTGAGTCCTCACGGTAGAGATTGTTGGGGATCAGAAGGGAAGGTTGACCTTGGATCTGGAAGGATTCTGGTTGGGGGCAAAGGGAAGAGCCAGCAGGAGGACTGAGAGGGGTGGTTAAGGGAGCAGTAGAAAGATCAAGGCCCTACAACATTCTGGAAACCAGGGGAAGACCATCTTACGGGGAGCAGCGGGGTCCACAGTTGCCGAGGGTCAGGGAAGCTGGAGACTGAGCACCCGTGTTGGTGATGTGGTGGTCTCGGCCTTCCACTGGAGAGGCAGGGACAGGCGAGGAGCCACAGGGAACTGGGAAGTTATCAGGAAGTGTGTGGACGACTCCAGGGAGAAGCCTGGTACCGACCCGGAGAGAGGTGGAGGGAGTGGCCAGAGGGACTTGTGGGATGTTTTAAAGATGGGAAATCATGGGAGACATGTGAGGGGAATTACTCAATAGAGAGGGGAAGCTGGTGATGCCAGATAAAGGGGGTGGTTGGTAGAGTGAGGTCCTGGGGTGGTGTCCAAGGTGGCTGGTTGGCGGGGTAAGACGAAGGATCCCACCAGAAGGCTCCAGGTTCTCCATGAAGGAGGAGGCAGGGTCAGCAGCTACGAGATCCAGGGTTGGAGGCATGGAGGTAGGCAATGTCTGTGCCTTCCCCCCTCCCGGCTCTGCCAGGATCTACTACCATACCACCCGTGCCCAAAGGAGCAAGGGAGCAGCTGCCTAGAGGAACTTTGGCATTGAGAGCCCAGGTGGGGTCTGGGGAATGGCATTATGGGCACCACTATATGAAGGCATGAGGGTCCACTCCATGAGTGTAGCTTCTCGGGGGCAGATAAGGAGGGAGAGGTGGGTACATGAATTGTCACGTTATTTCTAATAAGGGCCCATGGGCTATGAGCCGGCGAAGCTAAGAGAGGCAAGTCAGGAAGGCGGTGTGGCTGTGGCGAAGGGGGTGGCCCCGTGGAAGTGGGCGGTTGAGGTGGAGTGAAGTGGCCAAGGAAGAGAGAAGCCAGTCACTCAACGGGTCTCCCACCGAGGTCACCTAACAACTCTTGATAGAGCACCTACTGTGAGCCGGGCACTGTTCTAGGCACTGGGGATAACAGCCGTGAACATGGCAAAGGCCCTGAAAACTCACGGAGCTTACAGTCTAGTGGGGAGAAACAGACCGTACCCAGGTAAACAACTACCTACCTAAGATCGCAGTGAAGAGCGGTAGTGTTAAGAAGGAAACAAACCCGTGTACGGGCATAGAGCTCACTACAGGGTGGATACTTTCGTTAGCTGGGGAGTGGCATCTGGGTAGGCCCCTCTGAGGGGGTGATATTGGAGCTCAGCAATGGGATATAACTCACCCCCTGCCGCTGTGTGCAAGAGGGACCCTAGGGGAGGGGCGAAGGCTTAAGCCAGGAGACCGCCTACCAAGGAAGCTCTTACACCTGTCTGAGAGAAGTGATGGTTGCCAGGGCTGGGGTGGGGTCTTGGAGATGGCCAGCAAAGACAAGGATGGAGTGGGGCAGATGGGATATGCCAAAATCAGACATGGGTGGCGAGAGACATCGAAAATCCAAGATGGCGCTAAGGCTTCTGCTAAGCCAGGAAATAAGTGGCGTGCGTGGCTGAGATGAGAGCGGGGGGGTGGTGCGATGCTGGTCTAAGCAGAGCAGGGAAATCTTGGTCATTTGAGTGGTTGAGGTGCAGTAGCAGTTTGTATATTGCCCAAGACACAGATGTGTGTGTGTGTGTGTGTGTGTGTGTGTATGGGGGAGGGGGGGCAGTCACTGGCAGAGACAATATTGAAAGTCATAGGTCCGATGAGATCATTTGGGGATCGAGTGAATGAGAGAAAGCTCACAGGCTGAACCCTCACTAAGGAGAAGGTGGGCAAAGGAGGAGCAGTCCCCAAGGACCATCGGCATGTTCAGTGTGCCCAGAGTGACAGGGTTGAGGGGCGCTGTGTATGCCCTGCCCATCTGGTATTGGTCTCTTCCCGCACTCCCGTCATCCCATTCCCCCGGCCTTCCCTGCAGGTATGTGTACAACCGCATTGGTGGCGAGCACACCGAGGTGGTCCCGGAGCTGGTGGCCTCAGTGGCCACATTTGCCATCACCACCCTGTGGCTGGGGCCCTGTGACATTGTCTACCTGTGGTCACTCCTTAACTGCTTTGGGCTCAACTTTGAACTCTGGGTGCAGAAGCTGGCAGAGTGGGGGATCCTAGCGAGAATTGAGGTGAGCAGGGACAGGGAGGGGGGGGCTGGGTGGGTTGGGTCACTAGAGGGGGCAGCTGTGCCCCTCCCAAGTCATCCTGCTCCACTCAGTGCCCTGCCCAGAACCCAGAACGTTCTTTCCCCCACCTTCTGGGTTGTCAGGCCAATGACTCAACCTGAGAGTGTGTCCCTCCCTGCCCTCTTGCCCCTAGCTCTAGGCCACACTTCAACTGTGGGGTGCTGGGCAGCAGGGATTGCCCCTGCCGGTCAGGTCCTGCCCTCTCTCTGCCCCTCTTTTTGAACCAGGGAAGAGAGCTGGCTGACTGGGGTACTCAGGCACAGCCCCGAGCAAGGGCACTGACAACCGAGCTCTCTTTCCTCTGGGCCTCTGGTCCCTCTGCCCACGATCCTGCGGACGGATGGAGCAGGCCTCCCTGTCAGAACAGATGTCCCGCAGGGTCCGGGCCCTCTTCGGGGCTATGAACTTCTGGGCCATCATCATGTACAACCTCGTGAGCCTCAACAGCGTGCCGTTCACAGAGCTGGTTGCCCGGCGTCTGCTGCTCACGGGTGAGGGTTGGGGATCAGGGGTCAGGGACGAGAAGATGGAGGCTGGGCCAGGCATCTGCCTTGAAAGGATTGCCCCCCCCCCCCCCACTAGCTCCTCCTCCCCTGCAGGACTCAGCTGGGCAGGGGGGTGGGGGAGGGCAGCCTAGTGGGGCGAGGGCTGGGAAGGGAACAAGGTCCGGAGGACAGGGGCTGGCCCTGGCATGCCCTCTCCTCGCCCGCCCCACAGGCTTCCCTCAGACCACCCTGGCTGTCCTGCTTGTTACCTACTGTGGAGTCCAGCTGGTCAAAGAGCGGGAGAGGACCCTGGCGCTGGAGGAGGAGAAGCTGGACAAAGAGAAGGCCGAGTAGGCGGCGAGGAAAAGGACCCAGCTTCGCTCAGCTAGGCCTGGGCCCCAGGCTCGGGTCAGGCTGACGGGGCCTGGCCCCACCGGGGAATAAAATACTTTTCTACCAGAGCCGGGCTGTTCCCTGCCCTTCCTCCAGCGGGCTCCAAACACCTTATCCACTGGCTGAGGACTGGAGGGACAGGGAGGCCAACTCTTGGAGCCCACAGACTTTGCAGGGCAGAGAGCACCCACCTGAAGGCCCCATCTCGGGACCACCGTCCAGTCCAGCCTCTCAAAGGCCCTGAGCCCAGACTGAGCCGCTTGGTTAGAAGGCGCTTTATTCTGCTTCAAGGAGACTCACCCACGCTGTGTGCTTGGTGGGGGCACACACCTCCCCCACCCCCACCCCCACCCCACCGAGACAGTGAGGGAGGGCACTGGGTCCTATTTCACAGTGTGCTCAGCATACCCAGCCAGGTGGAGGCAGGGCCAGGGCAGAACCCAGACAGCCCCCTACAGTTCCATCTCATCACCCAGGAAGACCTGGGAGTGGGTGGGGTGGGGAGCTATGGAGACACAGCGGGGCGGGGCCTGGAAATTCTCAGACCAGGCTGCCAGCTGGCCGCTGTTTTGCTTTCCGGAGGCATGGTCACTCAGGCAACACTGCAGGTCCAGGTGGGCTCTGGCCCTTGCAGACACCCCGCCTGGAGGCCAGGCCCGTGTGGCCGTGGGACAGGCGTGCGCTTAGCTTGGGCACTCGGCTGTCACATCTTGGTCAGGCGCAGCACATTCAGCCGGACGGGGAGGAAGGTGGCACCGGCCGCATAGGCAATCTCCCGCAGGACCCCCTCCCACTTTCGTTCCTCTTCATTGTACCTGGGGGTCGGTGATGGGGGGAGAGGGGCAGGGTTGGACAGCTAGGTCAGCCAAGGTCCCAGGTGGGACCCGGCAGGAAGGTGGGGGAAGGGGTTGCTGGGTGCGCCCCTAACCCCAGGCCTGTCCCAGAACCATCTGCTCCTGGAGATTCCCAGACCCAGGACCCGCCTTCCAAGAAACACCCACCCCCTAAGCCACCCACCTCATACTCCAGGAAGCCCAGCCCCCATGACCTATGGGACACCTCTCTCTCAAGAATCACCGCAAGCCTCCCCGCCAGCTTTCCTCCCATAAGGTCTGTGCCCGCCACCCTGCATTCCGGCCCTAGGAGTGTCCTGCGCCAGCCCCCCACCCCGAGGGGTACCCCCAAGTCCCACTTGCCCAGCAGTTCAGGGGGCACCCCAGCTGACCCAAGTCACTTCTCCCAGCACCCTTAAAGGACCAGCCATGAAAAGCAGTGGCCTGAGAAGCTGAGGCCTGGCTGCTCCCCAGCCCTGTCCTTCCCAGCAGTCCCCTCCAGACCCTGCATCCAGGAGGGCCGCGGAGGAAAGGCCCGGCCGCCTTCCCACGGCTCCCTTTGCTCCCTGGGCAGTGTATCTGGGGCTCTGGGCCCTAAGCGTGGGGTCAGCTCCCGTGAAACTTGGCCCTTCGCAGTGGGGGTGAGGGTGGCACAGGTGCCAGCTCAGGCTTGGCAGCCAGTCGAGTGTGGGCACTTGCCCCTCCCCACAGCACCCTGGATGAGGATTTGGTGGGAAGCCCAGGTGACCTGCCTCGTGTCCCATGCCCAGTCATGGGGTTGGCCAGTGGGGATCTGTCCCCACCCTCCGCTCCAGCGCCTACTTGGGGCTGGGCTCACCTCCAGATGTCATTGAGTTCCGTGGGGACCAGCTCCCCAGACTCGGTCTCCAGCGTGGCAAAGCCACCGAGGGCATAGAGGGCACCCCCCAGGCTGACGAGGCTGAGGGAACTGCGCTCCTGTGGGAAGGCCTCAAAGGTCGTCCACCTGGGGGAGGTGAGGAGGTGCGTCACCCAGGGTGGCCCCCCCTCAGGCCCTCACCCCCCACCATACCAGTGCCCACGACACCCACCACCCCTCTGAAAATTGAGACCCAGGCTCTTGCCCACACTCCCAGGACAACTTCCTTCGCCACCCGCTCTGGAGGGCTGCTGCCCATCCACTCACCCCTGCCTGACCTCAGAGGAAGCCTGTCCCCTCTGGTCTCCACTCCTTCCCCTTTCCTGTGTGGCCCCTGGTCCTGCCACCCCGCCTCCTCAGTAACGTCCACCATGAATGGCCCTCTTCCTGTCCTGAAGGAACTCCTGCTCACTAACTCACTACCCTTGGGGGGAGACCTCCTGCTCTGAGCACCCTCCCCCTCCACCCAGTCCATCTCTCTCGTTTCACCTCCCTCCCATCATAGCCCACTAGCTCCTGGTGTCCGACAGGCCTGCCCCCTTCCCCAGCACCTGCCACCCCTCCAACCACACCTTTGCAAAATCTTCCCTGTCCCTCAGGACCCAAGCCTGGGCTGCGCCCTCTGTGCCCTCTCCCCCATGGAGTGTGTGCTGCCCTTCCCAGGTCTCCCTCTGGCTCACCCCTCCCGGCTGCAGGCCTTTGCCCCATGGGCTCCCCTAGACACTCCACCCCAGTCCCCTGGTTCCTTGTGTCCTAGCTGGACCCTCACTTTTAGTGAGCCCAGGGTTCTCCAGTACAGGGGTTCCCCACACACTCAGAAGCACCCCCTTCTCCCTTTCTCTGAGCCCCCAGCATCTAATCATGTGCCCAGCCCTGCTTGTTAGAGATGCAGCCTCTCACGCATCAGCATCTGCATTTCGACAACACCCTCGGGAGATGTAGGCAGCCAGGACAGTGTGGGAGGCCCTGGGCTACGTCTCTCTCCTGCCCTGTCCCAGCTGCACCCCTGCTCCAGGCCACCCATCCGGTCTCCCTGCCACCTAGAAAGCTTCTAAGCTGGCCCCTCAGTCAGCTGACATGCAGGGTCTCAGTAAAACCCAGGCAGGAGCATACAGCCCTTTGCAGGCATTTCACTGCCCTCAGGAGAGCCCCTCCCTCTCCAGCCCCAGGATCCAGCAATCCACCCTCCCTCACCCTACACGCCACCCCACCCCAGTGTGTCCCCTAATAGGCTCTGTCTGTTTTCCCCTAACTGCTGGGGCACCACCTTCTCGCAGTCACCCTCAACCCTCCTGCAGGCAGAGCCCACCGGGTTCCCTCTCCTGCCGCCACCCACCTGACCCGGGACAGGGCAGCTTCTGCCCAGGTCACCCCTTCCCACCCAAGGAGCTCCCTCTAGCAGACCACATGGGACACACCTTGACCCCACCTGTCTGGGAAGCTGTTTCCCTGCCAACTGCCACTGCTGCTGGGCCAGCGTCTGTGGTCGGCTCCCACCCCCCACCCCCTGCACAAACGAGACTAAGGCCACACAGGCTCTTGGCCCCTGGTTATCCAGCAGCTCTGGAGTGGCGGGTGGGGTGTCAGCATACTTGTTGTCCGAGATGCTGTACACCTCGATGGAACTGGTCAGCCCGGTGTCAGTCACCCCAGCAGCCACAAAAATCCGGCCATCGTGGACCGTGGCCCCGAAGAGTGAGCGTGCAGTCTGCATGGGCGCCAACTCCTTCCACTCAAACTTCTTGGGGTCGTAGACGCACATCTTGTTTAAGCACTTCCTGGGAGAGGGGAGGACGAGGGAGGGGAGTGGGCGGGTGGACTGGAGGTCAGACTGTGGCTCCTTCCAATCAACGCCCACTCCCTCCCCACCCCCTGCAGCCAGGGAAGCTGACCAGCCCCAGAGGTGATGCTGCTGCTCCAAACCACAGTCCTGTGGCCTCACCTGTCACTACCTTTGCCGCCGATGACGTAGACTAGGTCCATGTGGGATAGCACTGAGTGGCCGTACACGGCATAGGGCAGCGGGTCTGACTCACCCCATTTGAACGACCTGGAGGAGACGGGAGATGACAAAGCCAGTGCAAAGCCAGCTTCTCCATCACCCACCCACGCACCCAGCGCGTGCAAGGAGGCTTCGAAAACGACGTGGGCATATTCCGTATCTTTAAAAACTCCATTTGTTTCCCCCCTCCCTTTTTCCCCCCTTTCTCTAAGTCCCCGAGTCTTCCAACCCAAACTCACTACCATTGAGTGATGCCAACTCACAGTGACCCAATAGGACAGGGCAGAACCCATCCTGGGTGATTTCCAAGAATAACTCTTGAAGAGAGTAGAAAGCCCCTCTGTCTCCTGAGGACTGACTGGTGGTTTTGAACTGTGGGCTTTGAGGATCGCATCCCAGCACACAACCCCTACACCAGCAGGGTCCCACCCCTCATATTCCAAGATACATTGCCAGAAGTCCCCAGGCCTCTGTTTCTGCTCCCACCCCACCCCCTCCACACACACCCACGCCATCGCCAACCCTGGGCCGCAGGCTAGAACCCATCCCCAGCCCCCGGGTCCCAGGCCCTCGCTCACAGCCGGTCGTAGCACATGACCGAGTCCAGGCTGAGCTCGCCATCCTTCAACTCACGGCCACCAACCACGTAGATGGAGTTCAGAGCCTCCCCCAGGCCGAAGAGGCAGCGCGGTGAGGGCAACGGAGGCATCCCCAGCCACTCGGAGTCCAAGTGGTCGAACTGTGGGCCAGTTGAGGAGCACCCAATCAATTACGGCCCCCACATGCCAGGCCCAGGCCCCCTCCCCTGCAGCCCCCCAGGACTCCAGGGAGGGCCAACGCAGCCTGGAAGCATACTGCGCCCCTCTCTGCGCGCCCCACTGCCAGGGGGTGGTGTGATGAGATGGATGGTCAGCAAACAAACTCCCGGCCCTCAGTCCATCTGACTCCGAGACCCCGGAGGGTTTCTGAGATTGTCTTTACACTCCTAAAACTCCTCATCTCCCCCTCCCCAGCAGCTGGTGGTTGGGGGGCTTCTCCACTAATGCCCAGAGACAACCATGATAGCACTATGACATGGCACAGATTTGAAGGCCACGTCTGGAGCCTCAACACTGGCACCAAGCTGCCCCTCACCCCTCTAGCAACTGCCCCGGCCTCAGGCCCGACCCACCCCAGACTCCTCATTGCTGCTCGCCCTTCCTTGCTCACACCATCTCCCCCTGTCCTGCCCCCTTCCCCGAAACACCACCAAACTCTGTCTCCAGAGGCACCCTCCTGGCAAGGCTCAAACTGGTCTCCAGGAACCTGCCCCCTGCACTCTGAGCTGGCCCTAGTTTTACCATCTGTACAATGGGACGGTCTCTGCGCTGGGCCCGCTCCTCCTCCAAGGTGTCTGGCCCCAGTCCATGCGCAGAGCCCAGACTTTCAACCACAACACCCCAGGGGCAGGGGTGGGGTGGGGGGCTGCCTTTCAGCTGTCCATCAATCACCCTGGACTACATCTTATCCTAGGCCCTGCGCCACCTCTCCAAGTACGCCCACGTGCTCTCCTCCTCCCCAACCCCTCCACCTCCATCCTGTTCCCAGATCCCAGACCCCGTGCTGGCCGCCCCCATCCGGGCTCCCAGAACCTGTAGGAAGTAGGCGCTCATAGGGTCCTCTTTGTTGTCTTCGTTGTAGAAGAGACCCCCGGCCACGAAGACCTGGTTCTCCTTGGTGACCAGACTGACGTGGTTCTTGGGGATCTGCGTGGACAAGGACGCGCAGTAGCATTCATTGGTGGCCGGGTCATAGGCCACTGCGCCCCCCTCGCTGATCATGAAGATGAGCTCGTGCAGGAACATGCCAAAGCGCAGCGTGTCGTTGAGGATGCCGGGAAGGACGCGCTCGCCCTCCTCCTCCTCAGCGGTCTCTTTCTCAGTCTCGCCCTTGGCCTTGGCCGTGCCCTGGTCCATTGCCTTGGACCCCGCGGCCTCCTTCTCCTTCTTCTTCTTGCGCAGCACGGTGATGCGGCCCTCGTGCGCGTCCTTCACCATCTGCACCTTGCGCAGCAGCTCGGGCTGGGCGCGCACCAGCGGGTGCCGCTCCACGCGGCTCTCCAGGAAGGAGCGCGGCAGCAGGCGGCAGCGCACGCTCTCGAAGACGGTGGGCAGCGCGCGCTGGCGCTCCGCTTGCGCCTCCGCGTCGCCGCCGCCCGCCCACCGCATCACCGCCTCGAACACCGCCTCCTCCTTCTCCACGTTGAGGCCGTCGCTGGAGATGATGGCGATGAGCTCGTCGGCCGAGAGCCCCAGGAAGTCGGCGTCGCGCGCCACGAGCGCGAAGCGCGCGCAGATGAAGTCGCGCGCGGCCACGGCGAGGCGCGCGCAGTCGAGCAGGAGGCCAAGGCGGAAGACGGCCAGGCAGTTGGCGAGGCACAGGCGCTTCTGCAGGAAGGACACGCAGATGGTGAAGATGGACGGGATCTGGAAGCGGTGCGCCGCGGCGAACAGCTCCTGCACGCTCGCCTCGTCCAGCGCGATCTCCGACGTGTACAGGTAGTGCAGCACCTGGGCCACCACGTCCGGGGACACCTCCTCCAGGCGCAGCTCGCCCGCCCGCTCCGTCTCGGCCAGGAAGCGCGCCCTGAAGTAGGGGCTGCAGGCGGCCAGCACCAGGCGGTGGCACGGGAACTCGCGCTCCCCAGCATGCACCACGCAGTCCAAGAACTTGCCATGGTCCAGCATGTCCTTGAGCCCGTCCTGCAGGAGGGTCTGCTGGTACAAGCGCTGCTCCTCGACCTGCTCCAGGCCCAGCGCCATGGTGGGTGGCTTAGCTGATTGGGGACCAAGACTGGGACACACACAACAAGCCCTTGGGGCGCTGCGCCTTCGCCCTCCTGCTGGGGCACACTTGGTCTGCGCAGCTGTCTTTGCCCAGCTATATATAGCTGTAAGGCGAGTAGCCGGGCCGCCGGCGGTGACGTCGAGGGGACAGCTGTATAGAGGTCCTCTCCCCCAGGAGGCTTTGACTCAGCCCTGGTGGCTCATGGGACAGGGGCGAGGAGAAATTTCTGGACCCTCCCTGCAAAGGCAGGCTGCACTTGGCCTCGTTTCTAAATGGAGCACAACAAGACCTGTCCAAGATGCCCCTGGGTGGGCAAGCCCTGACCCTCAGCCGCGGGGAGGGCGAAACACCGGTGCCCCTCTCCCAGGGTCCCTCTTATTCCGTGTCTCTCCGGCCCTCGTGCCCAGGTGTCTGAATTCCTCGCTCTTTTATCCCACTCCAATGCCCTGGACACTGCTGTGAACTTGGCCCTGACATTCACCAGGTAGGGACCTGGTTGTCCCACCTTTAAAATGAGAACAGCCCCACCTCTGGCCCCTACCACTTGGTGCCCAGCTCTGAGGGCCTCTCGCGACTGCCGGAGGACAAGAAGGTGCCTCCCAGAAACAAACTCGGCACTTTCCCATGGGGTCTGGGGCAAATCAGGCAGGTCTGACTTAGTTACACCAAGGCACTGGGCAGTGAAGCTCAGAGGGCCTCCAATAGCCTCTGCTGGAGTTCAGATGCCCTGAAGCTCTGTGTCCCTGTTCTAGGATGTTGTTGTCGTTAGATATTGGATATGCTAGAAAATTAATCTCAGGTGTCTAATCTCATAATGGCTTAAAGGCCCAGAGTGAAAACTAGTGGGGTAGTGGGTTACTTGTTAGGCTGCTAACTGCCAAGGCAGCAGTTCAAACCCACTAGCCACTCCAAGGGAGAAAGATGAGGCTTTCTGCTCCCGTCACGAGTTGCTGTCTCAGGAACCCCTAAGGACAGTCCTCTTCTGTCCTAGAAGGTCCCCGGGAATCGAATGGACTCTGTAGCAGTGAGTTTGGTTTTTGTGGGGGGTTATTTCATTCATTCATTTATGAGGGGGAGTGACTTTCTGGATTCTCATGTTCACAAACTAACATTATTTAAGAGTTTGATAGTTTTAGTAATCCAGGACTTTGTCAGTACCCATTGTTCTTGGCTGTGCCGGGCATGATCCGAGCCAACTCAGAAAGGACCCCATGTGCAGTACGGAGACACTGGCACAGCCATACCTGCCTCAGGGCCCCTGCAGACTGTCTATAGTCTGAAGAGTCGAGATCGATGGAGACTGTGGACCACCAATCCCAAAGCCCATCCTGTCCCCAATCCTGACACCCACCCTGCTCTCCCAACACACACACACACAAACACACCAGCCTCAGCCAAAAAGATTAACTCATTCCCAAAGTGCCAGAGACTGCAGCTGTGGGTTAAATTTAGCCCCTGGGCACTGCTGTGGGGCACTCCCCCATCATCCCTCTGAGTCACTTGTTTATAACTCATATTTAGGGGGGAGGGGGTGAGACAGGGTGGGGAATGTCAGGCTAGGCCAGGACTGAGTCACCTCCCCTTTTGTGATCTCAGTGATGCCACGACCTGTCCCTCGCGAGCAGGTGCTTCACCCATCTCTAGTTCACCCCATCCATAGGTCTCTGGGGTCAACCAGATCTGTCTACCTCCATAAACCACGGGGATCCCTCCCTGCCTTGATACTCCCCTACTGACAAATTATCCAAATTGCCAATCAAATTCTCATTTTACAATGACCAGGGCAGGAGGTACTGACTGAACAATTCATTTAAATTTATCAAATGACTCAATGAGTTACTTTTAGATGATGATGAATCCCATGGGGCTTAGGTCCTACCATGCAGGCCACTCAAGTATTTATATGCTGGCCATTCACTCCTGGAGAACCTACTATGTGCTGGTCGGAGTGGTGGAGATTCCTCGGGGGACGAATCAGGCAGGAAGCCCTGGCTTTGTGGAGCCTACGTTGGAGGGAACAGGAGGAAACAGCGATAAGTAAAGAGTTACACCGGATCCAGACGGTAGCGACTTGGGAGAGGGGGAAGGGGGCAATGAAAGTGATAAGTAACATCGGTAAACCTTTTAAACGGAACAGGCTGGGTGGATTCACTGAGAAAGAAGGTCACGTCCAAGCAGCTCCGAGCCCCCAAAGAGGAGGATTCCAGGCAGGGCAAAAGCCTTGAGGCAGAATGATTGGCATGTTCCAGAAACTTCATAGAGCACAGCGGGCTGCAAAAGTGACTGTTTGAACTTCAGTTTCTCCCGGGAGTGACATGGAGAGCCATTGTCGGATTGCTTCCCCTCTTGGGTCTGGAAAATTCCAACGTGCACAGAAGCAGAACAGGCAGTGGGATGGCCCTTGGTCACCCTCTCCAGCAACGCTCAGGTCATCCGGTCTCGGTGAGTCTTATTTCTACCCCAACTCACCTCACCAATCATCCTGGGAGAGGGGCTGCCCAGGGATGGGACGAGAGTGGGGGAGACAGAGAGGAGAAAGAATGACCCCAGGCTTTTAATGGACTCACTTCACCCTCTTCATTTTCCCTGCACTTAATCTTCACATCCCAAAGACAACCGAAATTGAGACGAGAGCAGACAAGGACTAGTCTGATGAGGGCTCTACAACAGGAGAGCAGCTTGTCCTTGTTAGTTGCTGTCCGGCCCAGTCGGGGCTCACAGCTGCCTTAAGCATCACAGAAGGAAGCGCCATCCCACAGCCCGTTACCTCAATCCATCTCCTTGAAGGTCCCCCTCATTTGGGCTGACTGCCTGCTTTGCCAGCCGTGGCAGTTACATCATCTCCTGTCAACTTGCGAAGGGGCGGAGTCCAGCCTGTTAATCAGGTCGCAGCTTGATGACCTCATTTGGAGGCGCCACGGAGGTGACTAGCTCACCGGAAGCCAGATACACACTTTCACTCTCTGTTCCAGCTTCCTGCTGACAAGCCACATGGAGCTATGCTCTAGCCCTGGAGCTGGAGGAGCCACGTGGACACCCCCACCAGCACTGAGATGCTTCCACCACCACTGGATCCATAAGACCATCCACCCACTGGCCTGTGATCTTCCTGCATTTGGCATCATTGTGTGTGTTGCATTGAGTCTGAAGAGGAGTTTATAGATTGACCATGGACATATGGGCTGATGATATCGGACTTATGGACTTGATCTGGACTGGGCTGGGGTGTTTCTCAATATACAGTTACTCTTTGACATAAAGCTTTCTCTTACATATATATGAGCGTCCTGGGTTTATTTCTCTAGTCAACCCAGACCAACACACCAAGCATGCCAGGCCTCTCCGATGATGGGACCCTCCTCCTGAGGTGTCCAAAGCACGGGACACAAAGTGTCACCGGCTTTGTTGGGACGGAGCACTCTGAGGGCATCTCTCTTCAGACATGTGCACATTCTTGGGGCCCTCTGTGGACCATGCAACATTCTTTGTCAACACCATGACGTTACTGTGTCAGTTCGTCTCCCATCTCCTTGTGTTAGTCTGGGTACTTCAGAGAAACAAATCCACAGAAACTCATATGTATAAGAGAGAGTTTTATATAAAGGTTAAGTGCACCTCAAAAAACATCCCAACCCATTGCTGCCCAAGCCCACAAGTCCAACATTAACCCATATGTCCAACACCGATCCACAAAGTCCTCCACCATCTTACAAAACACACAATGATGCCGACTGCAGGAGGAAAGCCGAGTCAGTGAACATGTAAGCATCTCAG